GGGGGGTGGGAGGAAGAAGGGGGAAAGGGGGAGGCTTTAGAAGCTATAACCCCATCCCCCAACTCTTATCGTACTATATTATCCAAATTTCCTATTGTATATTAAAGCTAATCTACGCTAACATATAACGAGCTATGACCTAATCAAATGGTGTCTGCAAACCCTTGCAAGTAATGAAATAAAATAAGTACTAAACACCACTGCAGTTTTATATTAGATCTCTAGCTTGGGCATAACGGTTTCCCCTGACTTACGGTAATTTTCATATTATTCCGACCAAAGAAAAAACATGCTCTTATGGCCCTTTTCAAAACAGATTTATTATTGTGGATCTAAAATTGTATTGACTGAAGTCAAAGCATCAGAAGACTAGAACATAGGCATAGATTTACAAATCCCTCATTACATACCTTAGTTTCTTCACCCTTGGTTAACATTGATCTGAGGTCAGCAGCTGCAGTCTGAGACATGACAGAAAGTAAGGACAAAAAGTTAGAGGCAGATTGATTTACTAAAATAATCTACATTGAGACAGTCACTAATAACATTCATTCAGGCAGGTGCAGATCCAGTCAAGAATATAGGAAGGGGGGTAGGGGGATTCACGGAATTTTGCTTGGATCTGCCCCTGAAAAGGTACTATTTCCAATAGACCCTTTGCCAAAATGGCGGCTGAAAATTGAAATGAATAAAATAAAAAAAAACAATACCAGCACTGCAAAGAGCACCTTTATTTTACTAACCCTGTGGGTTAGGGTATACCATTAGACATACAAACATGTGTAAATAATTTGTCAATTTTCAACTTAAGTTTTCTTGGCCAATATTAACAAATGAAAAATAATGAATCTTTGTAGGGTAACTCATTTCAATTGTCGGCCGCCATTCTGGCAAAGGGTCTATTGTTTTGGGTACCACTAACTCTTGCCTTTAGGACAAATTCCAAAAGGTTTTACTCAAAAATAACAAAAATGGAAGCCAAATGTAAAAGAAATTAAAAGAATCAATTTCATGGGCTATTGTCATCAATCCGAGCCATACAGTAAGGTATTGGTTAGTGGTTTGTCAGGTGTCAGTAAGTGGTTATAATAAATCAAATTACTGCAGATGTGAATGTTATCATGCAAACATACATGGTTGGCTCTGTCTTGGGTGTAATTCATTCCTTGTCTTCGCATGTCAAAGGCTTGTTGTCTTGGTGATGAGATAGCTCCAGGAATCGTACCGAACCCAAGGGCATGGGGACTGAACTGACCATCAGGTGTCCACAGAGGATTACCATTCTAAAGACAGGTAAACAATTAACCAATGGATAAGATATTTTTTATTATTGAATATAGAGTTTCTTGTGCTGTGATTGGTCGAGCAACAAGTGATTCTGAGACGATAATCACTGTGTGCAAGTAATACCAAAATGGTTTTTTATCCTGAATTTCTACTTTTCTCTGCGGATATTCAAGTCTAACATTATACATCTAAAACAATTATTCCCCTCAGGTTCAGTTATTATGGTGATTATTTACCTCCCCGCCCAAAGAATCTTGGGCAAATAATTGTTAAATACCAATACCTACCATTCGCTTAACTACAGTAAAATAAGGGCAGAACTAACTAGATTGAGCTCAAATATTCCTGCAATTTTTGGGGAGAGGGCTAAAGAGCTGTTGCCATGCTGACTCACATTTTTTGTCACATTAAATACATGATTATAAAAGCTAAACATTACCTAGATAATAATTGCTTATCATTTATAATTATCTTTTGAATCTTTATCTTTATCAGTGTTTGCTTACAAAAATCAATCCTACCAAACCCTAAAGCCCTTGGAATGTTCAACATCAGGGCATAGCTAACTCAAAGATTGATAAGATTGATTTGGAATTTAGGCCAAACCAAAAAAATAGGTGTGCTTCCTTTTGCGACCCTAATTTTCTTGCCGATTTTTGCTGACCCTAATATCATTTTCTTTCCCAAATGCACCACAGGGCTCCCAGGGTTCCCAGTAAGCTCAGTTCCACTGTTGTATCAGTAAAAAACAAAAACAAAATAAAACAAAAAAAACCCGACCTACCTATCATTTCCACTGGTTGTATCAGTAAAAAAAAGATCTGACTTACTGACCCCAATTATTTTTCTCATGCAACAGGAAACACATGTATTATTTTGTTTGGCCTTAGCATGTACAGTATTGCATGGCTGAATTGATGAAAATTGGAGAATCCAGGAAAAACTCTTGAATAAAGTGAGAGACTTTATTTAGATAAAGTCTAGGAACTGAGCCTGATACCAGGTGAATGGTGGTTGCACTACAAATGCCTATAAACAGCTGCAATACTTCAGTGAACAACAGTGACCTTATCCTCTCTCTGTCCTTCACCATGGTAATCCCACAACAAAATCTACTTGTACATACCATTTTTTGCCTCTTTTCTCTATCTTTTTTGGCCTTTAATCTTTGCTTGAATGCAATCTTTTGACAAAAAAAATATGGTTCATAATTAAATTTCCTTCATAATGAGTCTTATTAGTGAATCATTCTTAAATAAACAATTCAAAATACTTACATTATCCTGTTGTCTCTTTTTGAAAATTTCATCTTCAACGTAACCAAGCTCTGCAAGTTTAACAACATTATCAATCAACAAGGGTAATATATTTAATACATTATGAAGTCCAGAAATCATTAACAAATTAAACAGCTTTTTCCATGCTCAGTTTAGTAATAAAGTAAGTAAGTTCAGTAGTAAAGTGAAGTAAGCATGAAAGGAGTGTAAGGAGAAGCACAAGCCACAGCGTTTCAGAAAAAGCTGTTTTATTTGTCTTATTATATAGTTACTAATTTCATTTTGGCATTGAATTTATTTACACAAAAAGAAAAAAGGTCGCAGGATCTAGCATCACTTTGCGCGGGAGGATGCTGTCAGCACTGTGCTTCCTTCACTAATAAAGCACACGAATATCAATCAACGCACACATACTATCCTAAATGTATCATGAATACAGAGAATACGATACATCGCTCTCATGGCTAATGAGCACATGGAAACGAGGTCTCCCAGTCATCCTGTAAGGCTGAGCAAGGCTGCTCATTCAAAATAAAGRTGGATAGCGCGAATTCCGGTCAAAACAGGAGGTAAATTTCTAACTGTACTTTTCTTTTATAAACACATTTTATGTGAAACACTGATTCTGAATCAGAACATATATTAAAAGTAAAATGCCAATAATTTAGATCTGCTGTGTCTTATTTGTATTGTGCTTTACCTTGAAGTACTAGCTGTACTTTATTTAAATCCACAAATCCATCCTTTGTTATGTAACCCTAAAGATATGGCAGATAAAAGAATGATTTAAATGACTAGTTGGTCAATCAGTCAGTCAAGGAATCAGTGATTTACCAGGCAGTCGTAAACTGGTCATGCCTACAATTCAATATCAGATAAGAAAAAAAAACACCTCAAACACTCACCCCACATCTGGGAACAACGTTCTTGTAAAACTTTACAAGCCTGTCAATTGCACCCTCTCTGATAAGATAGAAGAAATAAACAAGATTGATAAAATTAATTAGAGTTAAAAATCTCATGCTCAAGAGAATGACACATACTGTAGTTGAAAGTGGGAGAGCATTGCAGCTGAGTGAAAGAGGTCTATTGTACTAGACTTTACAAGGTCTTCATTATGTTTTAAATTAATAGGAGAAAATCATGAACTGCCGTAGAGTCTTTGGGAGCAAGTGAACATTTTACGAATTAATAAGCTTTTAATGGTACTTAAAGCAAGATAATTTTGCTCAGTTTGCTCGTTCTCCGACCCCTGACCCTTAATGAAAGCCCCACTTTATGACTGAAATACAGAGGCATGTGTTGTGTAAACTTCATCACTTACCTGATCTCTAAGGAAGGCAAATGAGGCAGAAAGTCATTCCCAACAAAGAAACACATGAAAACCCAATCATCTACACATCTCTGGTGAGGAAAGGTTAAAAACACAGTTAAACACATGATCTACTGTATAAAACTGTGTGGATTTCATGGCCTTTGTAGGGCACACTTTGCAGATGTCCAATATTGTAAATTTGTGGATAAAAAAGCACATTGCCTTACCTCAAAGTCATAGGCAAAAGGTAGGTTTTCCAATCTCAAGTCTCTTTCCAGATACTGTATGAATAAAATAAGACATTTATTTAATAATTAGTTCATTTTTTTTAGTTGAAGAATAATTTATTTACATTCCACTATAAAGATGCTCTCATGCCATTACAAAAACTGGGTTCACTTCATTCATTTCCATTACTTGTTATAGCCATGTGATTTGTGGAAGGGTTTGTGACACATTTGTCACAGTAAGAAGTGAGAAATATTCAAAAAACTAACCTCTCTTAAAACATTAATCCTTATGAAGATGAACTCCACCTCTTGGCTGACTGGCTTGGAAAGCTCATCAAACTGAAGGGTTATGAAACATGAAAAATATCCTGATAAATGATACATTGTCTTGTTACATGTACAATTAACCATTTTTATTGTTCCTTTTTTCCATCAGTRTGAATATTTTCCCTGTCCGTTGTCCTTCCATCTGTGATTTCCCATTCATTCAATTCACAATTATTTTCTTTTGCTTTCTTCATTTTAATTTCCTCTTCTTTCATTTTATTTTGTTTTAAAGTAATGGCTGTTCGTGACTAACCTCTCCTTGTTTTTCCTTTGGAAGTCCTGTGCACTCTGCCATTTCATGACCTGAATTTTTTGGGCAAAAAATTTTTAACAACTGTTACAACTTTATGATAACACCTCCAATTCAAAATTACCAAGCAAAATTAATTTAGCATCAAATCTGAAGGGCATTTGAAAGGGTATGACGCTTGTGAAATAGCGCAGAACAGTGCATTTTGTAACTCACCAACTTGTCCACAAAGCTCACAAGGTCTCTTCTGGTTTGGCTTGAATTCTTCTCTGATAATGGTGAAATGAGGTTCATGAGTAGCAAGGCCTTGAAAAAAATAAATGATAAAGATATTCTTATATTCCTATCCAAGGGGGTAGCTAGCCACAATCCACCTCCCCCCCTGAATCTGTCCTTGTACACAAACTAATTCACTGGCACATGAAGATCAAGTCAACTTACCTAACATGATTAAATCAGCTGTTGAAAATGTAAATAAAAAAATAAAACGAGCTGTTAATAATACAAACATATTGTTTAAAAAGAGACATTATTTGGAGCTTTAACATACCATCTGCACCATTCAAGCAATGCTTGGTGTTCGGATCATGGCCTGGGCTGGCTATAATATAATACATAAACAAAAGTTAAGTACTGAATATCAATACATGTAAATATATTTATAGATTTTGCATATTCTGCATACACATAGAACACACATCTAAAATTCTAATAAATTAAAAACGCTTGATATATTCGATTGGCTATAATATACTATAATACTATAGTATGATTGGTTCAGTGAAATGAAGCAAAAGGTAGTCTCTAGATGCCAAGTGTAAGACTTCACCTGCAGATCTTTTGCCTTTCTGGTAAGTGCAACAATTAATCCAATAACAAGTTCAGATATTGTTCACAATTTATTATAGTTTTAATTAGTTATTTGGTTAGTGCATGGCCTTCAGAGCTATAGGTCCATGGTTTGATCCTCAGGATCTCCATGTCTGCTTTAACTTCTCTCTCTGGTACGGTGTAGCTTTAGCTTTAAAAACCTGTCATAAGGAGCTCTGATAGTTTGAGGGAGTAAAAGATGCCCCTTCAAACACTTAAATACAAGCCCTTGGTTTGGAAGAATTGGGCAACCACTTCCGGCTGCAGTTTCAAAGTAAAATAAATTACCCTTAAGGTTTACCTTTTCTAACTATTCCAAGCATTATAAGGTTTTCTCATTACTTTCTAAACATTATAAACAAACCTCTTTGTTTCCTGATAAAATCCATGATTTTATGCTCTCCCTCCCCTGGTACATTGGCATCTGATAAGATCACCTAAGAAACCATAAAAGCCCAGTTAATAAAGACGTGCTGTAATGATCGTTCAATAAGACCTAGGTAGTATGGATCACGTGCTGTATAGGAAGAAGAATGAGACAAGCAATGTGAAACATAGAACATAGAAGCTGTAACTAAATGGTATTTTGAGAAAAGGACATTATTGTCCTCTGATGTACTCATTTGAGATACACAGTTGATAAGAAACAAGTGTCAAAAGCCTCTGTGCTCTCTGTCAGTGCAACAATTATATAATAAACATCACACAAGTTGTATCACTAGATACATACATCTAATTAATATACTTCCCATGTACCATTTCATTCTCTGCTTCTACATGTTTGTTATATGTTTTGAGCCCAAAAATGATCTCACAATTGAGTGTATATACTGTATTTAGGTCACCATACAGTATGGATTGGACATGTCACGTATACTGCAGTTAGGTCACCATACAGTATTAAAATGAACACCTCACGTTACCTTAATGTTTTTCCATCCAGGGTCATTATTTAGTCTGTCAGTTATGTAATAACCCAGACACACAGACAAATTGGCCATAAACTCTGTGCCCTTCAAAAATAATCAGAATAGCAAAAACATCAATTGCCGTCGAAATCTTGGCAAAGCACATCGTGAGACTTCTACCACCCATAGAGTAGATTTTGTATTCATTCATGAGGTAAAACTCCATGGCACACAGGACTGACATAGCATGGTATTAACAACATCAGTTAATAAACCAATAACAGGTTGCAAGATTATTTTTCATCCAATTATAACCCTATACACGTAACCCTAATTATCCCTGCAATATATATTTTACATTCTTCCAATTTTTCCTACATATGTGTATTACATGTATTAAAAAGATATGATACTATACTTACAGGAGTAATGCAGTTACTATCAAAATGCTCTGTTTTATCTTTTTCTGGAGGCAGCAAAGCTCCTATGAAGATAAGCATTATTATTCTAGGTGAGATAATGTTGCTACAGTATCAGAACGCTACAGTACAACATGCAGGCTGACAATTGACCCTTTGCCAAAATGGCAGCCACAAATTCAGTTGAGGTAAAATTAAACTGAGAGAAAAACCAATACCAGCACTGGAGAGAGCACCTTTACTTTAGTAACCCTACGAAGATTTATTATGTCAGGTGTTATATTGGCCGAGAAAACTTACGTTGAAAATATTGACAAATTTACAGACTTTTTGTATGTCTGGGGGTTTTCTTGGCCGATATAACACCTGACATAATGAATCTTTATACATGTAGGTTACTAAAGTAAAGTTGCAATTTTTGGCCGCCCTTTTGGCAAAGGGTCTATTAGGGAACACATTACGAGGCTAAAAATAATGGCTAATAATCTTAAAATGTGTATTGTCTGGTCAGAATTGGAACTTCTGCAGTCAAATCTTTGTCTTGTCATTTTGACCACAGTAGCATTGAGCCAGAAACCAGGTACAACTGAGCTGAAACTATTTTGGCCAGTTATCATGACAGGTGACTAACCAGCAGTTATTTTTAATAGCTCTGCATTATTTATTGGTTTGCAAAGTCTTGTTCACATCATCAGATCAGTTTGCTAATACATTTGACATATATCAACCATCTTGTGGACCTAATGAGTCATGCTGACTGTACTTGCCTTTTGCTGCTAGCTCGCTTCTTATTTTAGCCATTTCTTCACTTTTTTCTCTGCAAAATAAAAAACAAATTTGAACCATTTTCTCTTCTCTTACAGTGTACGAGTATCTTTTCAAGTATTCCTAGTAAATAAAGAAACTACACTAAAAAGAAATCCTTCCTTCAACTAAGTGTTATTTAGGCTGGAATAAACTATCTATGACAAGAAACTACATGTATAGATTCATCTTATCCTTATTTAATTGTTACCTCAATACAACAAGGTATAGTTTGAAAAGAGCTGTGCAAATGTTGCTGTAATGCAGTTTCTTTACACTATTTTTAAAACTAGTGAATGTGATATAATATGTTTATCGTACATGTACCTGCTTTCCTTTGAAGCTCGGAATCGCCTTGATCTCTGTTGGTTCATTTTAGCTCTGGGAGCCTGAGAAACAAACAAGCTTTAGTATTAATTATTTTAAGGTGTAAATAAAGCCAGAAAAACCAATAGACCAATTTCAAATTCCAAATTACCGCTGTGTTCCTTGATTACAGACTCATTTGCACAGGGTTAGCCTTGTATCAGTGTTTAAATATTCACAATTACCAACAATAAAGTAAAGAATGCACAACTTCAACAATACACTTTGAAACTTGAATATTCTGCACAAACTCTAGACTAACCCTGTGCAAATTTATGAGTCTGTAATCAAGAAACACAGCAGTAATTTGGAATTCGAAAGGTGTCTATTGAATTATAATTTTGGTGAATATTTTTGCCACATTACTTATCATTGTACAAACTGTGCTTAAAACATTATCAAAGCTAATGATATACAATCAATATTCTTGTTACTCTATCAAAGGTACAATATATAATCAATTCTTGTTACAGCAGACACCCTCTGGACTGCTACTTGGTATACGTAATAGCAAGTGTCCATAATATAGGTGACTAATCACCCTCCCCCCCCCCCCCCCCTTTTGCTCGAATTTCTCAGTATATCATTAGTAAAAGTCACCTCCCTTTTCCTTGAATTCATAGCAAACCTTTGTAATAGTCACCCCCTTCTAAAATTCCTGGATCTGCCCTTGAGTTAATTAGGGTCTTTTTTTTTTTGGTCGGGATTTTTAACCAGGAATTTTGCTATCGTCTGCAATAGAAAGGTGTTTGTGATATTGGGGTGTCTGCGAGGGGAGAGTCCACCAGGGTAGAGTCAACTATAGTTACTGTGCTCTGTTCTTGAAAATACATAATATGTAAGCTAGTACTACTATATCTTGGGAGCATACAGCGAATGAATGGAACAATTTGCTGTACATTTAAACCCAACTCATCACAATAACGAAAACAACAGTACTTACCACTCCATCAATAGCCATATACAAYAACTTTCTTGGTCTGACAATGGCAAAGATTCTGAAAAATATAATATTAGTGTTTTTATTGGGTGTAAAGAGTCAGAGAAATCATTTTGTGTGACCCCCCCCCTCAAAAAATAAAAATAAAAGAGAAATGCCAATTTCCCACTGCTCTCATAAATCAAAGCGTCCGAGCATCAATGAAAAACATGAGCTTTCCCATAGAAAATTGAAATAATATTTACCAAAGTAACAACAAAATCAAGCAATGTTATGTTATACCAGTCTTTTGTTGTTACAGTACAATTGTATTTGCCATGAGTGCATGAGTTCATTGGTTTGATTTAATTTAAGTGATTTAAAAGTAATAAATACCTGTCGATATATTCAAAGATAGCTAACATCATCTCATCTTCATTCTTGGGAGCAGGTCTGAATAAGAATAACACAAAATGGGATTTAGCAGTGGGATAAGCTCTACACAAAGCATTTGGCTTTTCTACTAAATGCAATTGGAAATTAGAGTTCATTTTTGTAAAAGTAACAAAATCTGACAGCCTAGAGAAATACCTTCAACAAAATATGACAACAAAATAACAAGATGTAGAATGATAAGACAACTTTCAGTACATACAACTGGACAATAATGAACAATCGTCCAACAGCTCAGAACTTAGATTAGTAACTATTTTTTCTTTCTTATTTATAGTTTGGTGATAACATAATTTCCTTAGATTATGTATAACTATCTTCATCAAGCTTGAAAAATCATCCTGCATACATGTACACCAGTACTTTTCCTGCAATATCAAAATGTAAGGGTTATAATCATACTTATTTTCTGGGTGACAACATGGATGAATGATTCCATTCATGTCCAGATAAAGATTATCAAATTCATAGTCATTTGGATTTGGACCACTTGTATCCACAGGGAACTTTACTCCATCTACTTCTTTAGCCTTAAGGAAAAGAAAAAAAGAAAATCCTGTAACTATGAGAACTTAACTTTAGCATGCACTCTATCAAGTAGGTTTACAGTTTTCATGTGGCGTAGGTACATGTATTATTGATTACCATCATTGCCTCTAGGCTTCCCTGCTAGCAGAGTCTCTCCTCTTTCTTTCCCTTCTTTTAGGAGGGGAGGAGGGAGACTCTGCCGATGTAGAGCGTTTCCTTTGATACACCGCCATCTACGATCGTGGATGAACGAACCCAGTTTTAAAGCGGTTTTTTAACCAGGTACATGTAGYGTGCATGAGCAAATGTAACACACAGTGGTGCCATATGTTGTTTGACAAGAGCTGCTGTCAAAATCATGACAGCCTTGCTAAGTTACGCCAAGCAGGCACAACAAGTATAAAGTCCTACATCAGCAGAGTCTATTTTTCTCACTTCACCAAAACAAAAGGAAAATAGGCTCTGCTAGCAGGGAACCACTAGGCACAAACAACAGATATCAAAACATGTTCTAAATGAATCCTGAAACTTGCATTTTATTTTCGGCTAAAAACATAAACTTTTGTCAACGTGGTAACTTGAATTTTCAACTATCAACACTGTCTTTCACGTTGATATTTCATATGACATGCATACGAATTTTCAGGAGTTCATTAGTGTCCTAGTTCCAGGGAAGCAAGTTAAAGAACTTGGTATGTAAAACAGTATTATTCTGTTTCATGGATGCACCGTTTTGTCCAGTTATTGCAAACTTCTTTAGTTACAGTTGTCTATGTAGACTGATTCCAAAAGTCATAGTAAAAATTATCGATCTTTATTGATGGACTATGTCAGGAATAGACTACTCTTGCTGAAGATGAATCGATCATATGAATCGATTATAAACACAGATTTTTCTGTGACTATTGATTGAATCATTCATTGCTATATATCAATCTATAAACTACAGATGATTAAAATTAATTGATCGATTGGTTTTCCAATCACCGGAATATCTTTAGTAAGAGGTTGAGAGCTATAAAAGAGAGAGAAAGACGACTTGTGTCTACATACACGTGACACTTCTTACCTTTTCTTCAACGCAATGCACGACAATCGACGGATATTTCCTCGAAAGCCAACGAAAAAACGCTGGAACTCCCATTCTGTCAGTTATYAGTTAAAATCTATCGAATATTGAACTCAAAAGAACAGTTTTTCACTCAAAAGACAAAGAGATAATTTTTCCAAAYATTTTACAAAATGGTGGCCATGGAAGACTGATGGGGAACTCTGCTGACCTGAGCCTAAAGGCGCGAAGAGTTACCAACTTACCCCCTCCCCACTCAGTATTACCGCATAGGGGAGGACTGAGAATATGAATTTTCTCTTGGGTGAGCTCAGTACGACCGTAAGAAAAATTTCCCGAACTGAGATGTTGATATCGCAAATACTGTATCTCGATGACACCAAAATCGTTCGATTTTTAAATCAAAATTTTAAATTTTAAATCAAAATTTTTATTGACATGACGGATTGAAATTCGGATTGAAATCTTTGATTGTTCTATCTTCGAACGTTGGCATGGAAACAATTCAGTATCTGGAATCTTTGTTGTCATGGTGTCAATATATCATTACTGAATGGTTGGTGCGATAGAAGAAGTGATAAAATCCAAATTTTATTGATTGGAAGGGCTTATGGTGGGATTAAACAACTGCTGTAATAGCCTGCTACGATATGGCTTCTGCCCTTGAAGACATAAAAAGATCAAGTTTGGATAAAGATGCTGCAAACTCTCCGATTCGACAACTTCCAACTTCTGATTCGAGGCCTTTGTCTTCGAACGCGATATTAACAAAGCTTCATCTACCACCGATTGACGTGAAAGAATCGCAAAAGTCACTGAATACTGTGCAAGATAAAGACATGATCAAGATTTTGTGTTTGAAATGTGAGGAAGAGGTTAAAGTTAGAGAGCTTCCAAGCCACAGGGAGTTCCATTTCGCTTTGAGTTTATTTAAGTACACGATGGAAACTCTACCATTCGGTGTTAAACAACTTTTGAAACGCCGAAGAGCTCTCATAAAGCGGTTGAATGAGACTGCAACCTCGGAAAACCCAGTTTCGATAAAGAAACTCAGCAGACTGAACATTGTCTATGAACTTTTGAAAGCTACGATAGAGGGAACAAAGACAATTTCCCCAGAAGTGGAAAATTATAAACCCAATATCTGTGGCTACAGCACGCGATTGAGCTGCGCCTTGGCTTTTGGTGTTTGTGAAGAGAGGAATGAAAGATGGCGGTCCAAAATGGAAGATCGCTATAGTTACCAAGATTATTTCTGCAACGATCCACAAAGTGGATTTTTTGCTGTTTATGATGGTTATAACGGAGCCATTGCAGCCGAGAAGTGCGCGCGCTACTTCCACGAAATCCTTTCTGACAAAATTGAACCAGTTTATCGATCAGATTCGTCACACAAAGAAGTCGAGAACCAAATAGTAACAGCTTTTAAGGAAACCTACGACGAAATGGATAAATTTCTACTTTTTGGTGTAAATGAAAATTCAAGAAATCGTTGGAGTGGTTGCTCTGCGCTTACTTGTCTCTTAAGAGGAAATAACCTATATGTTGCAAATGCAGGAACCGTTCGCGCCATTTTATGCAAAGGTGATGGCTCCGTTGTCCAGCTGTCACGTGACCATACCCCATTAAACAAGAAGGAAAGAAAAAGGATAACTAAAAATGGACAAGTGTCAACTAGTGAAAAATCTATCTTAGTGAATGGACTGTTGTCGAGTACAAGAGGCTTGGGTAACCATGGTGACCCATCTTTAAAGTCGGTTGTCATTCACCACCCAGATGTCAAATGCGTCCCACTTGACGAGTCTGACCAGTTCCTCATTTTTGCTTCAAATGGCATCTGGGAAGTTTTTGATGAACAAGAAGTTTTGCTTCTTCTTGATGATATAATACCTGAACTTGATGTGAAAGCTGTAGTGCGAAGGATGCAAAAATCCAGATCAAACAAAGCAAGTCGCTCTAGTGGAAATACTCCAGGGAGTGAAAAAATGAAAGAAAATCCTCCCACTTCTGAGCCCACAGACCAGAATAAACACACAGACAACTTAGAAAACTTTGAACCATCAGAAGATATTGGAAAATCATTAAAAGATACTCCTAGTAGTGGAAGAACAATTTCCTTTATTCGAAGAGAAGAGAAAAGTGTTGCACTGGCAAAGGCTTTGAGTGAGCGCTTGGTGGAAAGTGCTCTGCTAGCTGGGTGTAAGGATAATGTGACTGTGGGCGTTGTATTGTTGAAAGGATGCCCTTTACAAATGTTTCTCTTGCCATCAATAAATTAACAATACCTGATACAATATTATAAACACAACACCAAATTAGTTTAAAAGTTCTCAATATCTTTCAGCATATATTACAGTAGATAATTTAGTGTGAATTTAGGGATATGCCAATTCACCATCCATTAAAATTAATACCTGAATCAATCAATCCACAAAAAAATGCTAACACATAAATCTGAAAATCAAACATAAACCATTCCTGGAGTGGATGAATAACGAGCAAAAGAAAAAAAAAAGAAAAAAAAAAAAAAAAAAAAAAAAAAAAAAAAAAAAAAAAAAAAAAAAAAAAAAAAAAAAAAAAAAAAAAAAAAGAAAGAAGAAAGAAATCTGAACCAAGAAATAGATAAACCCTGAATTAATATTTTGCAGAATCCACCAATAATTTATTGATCAGTTAAAATTTTATTTTGAATCCATAATCCAACTAAATTATTTGTGAAATCTGCCAATCTGTAGATCCCTATTCACCCACCTCATAATGAGAGATAATTCTAATTGCTTATATTGGAAAAATAGTTCATATTAAGCTAATTTTAATTAAAATTATTTTCTTTCTATAAGAATTTGAAGTATTAAATAATAGAACATGTTGATATGCTTTTTTACTCCAAGAAATAAGAGCATGATGAAAAATAAAGGTTATCAAAAAGCTAGGACCTCAGCTTAGCCGTGACGGATCGATGTTCTTTTAGATATTAAATATTGCTGTAACCTTTTTTCTATAGGAATGCAATTAACTAAGGTGCTGTCTCTCATCCTTCAGTCTAATTCTTTTTGTGTGGAGAACAGATCAAATTTGTCTTTTCTAACCTCTGTGCAGCCGCTGAGGCACTTCCAGTTCGCATTTGGAATCAGAAGTGCCTTACAGTGGCTAGGCTGTACAGGAGGCTTATAGTGTCTTGTACTCATGGGAGAGTGTTGAGTGACGACACTGGAAGCGGCTGCGGGGACTAAGTCTTTTGGGGCTTACTCTTTTAATGAAAAGTCAGTTAATACTACAACACCATTCTGATACATACTACTGTATGTTGAGATCTTGAACAAATTGACTTTGGGCACCATCTTATATATAATATTTATAACGATTAAACAATTTGCAATGACATCTGTCAAGTATGTCATGAATAAACTATAAACAGCATATGCCTGCATCAGAGAATGGAGTTCTACAGGATGAGGGTATTGAAGTACCAATGTGTCAGTGCATGGTTTAAATTGATCTCTATTCATAAGGTACAATAACGTTGGAACCCATTCAGGGTTATCTGTACAGTAACGTTCCTGATGACTGACAGATGCAGCCTGTCAAATATGTCATCTGGGATAAAATTTTGTCATGAACAGAAATCTATTTTTTTTGGAAAAAAATTCTGCACGATGTTATGTGCTTACCACAAAATTTCAATTTAATGAACAAAAAAATTAAACTGTTTTATAGAGAATTCTGGGTTATTATTAAATTATTAGATAAACATTTGTCAAATGGAGTTGCTCGCAGACTATGGACCTTGATCACTCACATGGCAGCACAAAATAAATCAAACATAGCTGCCACTTGAGTGAGACCCATACCTTTTACCTGACCTCTTGCTAGCTTGGCTACAACAAAGATCTGACATACATCTGACAGCAAAATGATATTTCTTTGCAGTTTTAAAAAATATATGTTTATTTGATATAAGACTGACAAAACCTGCTATTATAATTTTGGTATAAACACATACTAATGAATTACATAAATTTACATGTTCAGTATAGTCTCCTTCGCAGCCGTCATTAGTTTTGATCCCAGATCCTCTCCAATGTACCCCACAAATGGTTGCTCACTTGAACCCTAAATTTCTTTCCACAGGGTTGACCACTTTGAATTTGGCTTCAATTTTCTGGAAACCCTGACATTGACCTTAATTTGCCCATGAGGATCTGGGACCGAAACTAATGAAGGCTGCGAAGGAGACTACATGTTCAGTCTCCCTATTTGGTCTTACTATACAGTGATCTTATTTCCATTATATGGGAAGATATGGCAAAATTTTAAACGTATGATTTTTAAACAAATATGAAGCAGCAAACATTGATATTAATACTACAGAAACCTAAAACAAACATGTAACTATTGACTTTTGTTTTTTTCTTTATAATATGATGATTAAATGATTTTAAACACACAATCCTATTTATAGGTTTTTGTAAAACCTGTTGGCCAGCTTGAATAAAAAATAAAATGCTGGTCAAAAAGTAGTAGAACTGAATATGAAACATATTATATAGCTACCAATATAATATTTACATTAAATAAAAATTTTTATTTATAAGTCAGAGTGTGTATGAGTAAAAAGAATGGAAGAACTCCTGAAAGAGGTATTAATTAACTAGTCCTCTTCTTTGAAACATTGCATTCTTTCTCCTGTTTGTTCTCTTATTGATCTCTTTTTGTCTTCTTTCAGCCCTAACAAAGAGATGCATGAACACATATATTAATGAACATTCAAAGTTAATGTTAGAATTATGGTAGCACTAATATTTCACTGGACTATATTTCTCTTTCATTAGTTACTATCACTAGTGCTTGCCAAGTTATTGGTACAAGTGCTATAACAAGTTAAATCTCTTCTATCTAGTTAGTGGTCATAAAATTTAATGCGCCCTTTCAAAAATCCAATCCCACCATATAATATACACTTGGGTTTTTCTTTTTCTTTTTTATACTCTGTTTCTTGTTTCTTTTCTTCAATAGTACAATTTGTCATCCCTGCTATATAAACTGATTTTATCACCTTTTATTATACTTTACAATATTGCATAAAAGTCATCACGTTTGCCATATATATATATGGCTTGCATGTTTTGGGCAAAGGTTTTTTTTTTGAGTTTGATAAATAGGATGCATTATTTATGGTCTAAACTTGGTACAAACAATGTTTGTTATCTCAGAAAAGGCCTATGTCATAGTAAATTGTACAATTCATCACATGCCCTGGTGCGTGCATGCCACTTAGGGTGGAGTGTTAAGTGACATTTTAGGGGCTAGTAATCTCAACTAAGTTTTGAAGTGCTTACCTTGAAGTTACTTTTACGTTTTTGATATCAACTTTTTTCTCATTGCAATCTGAAGCCTTGTTGGTTCTTACTGGGATCTTTGACTCAACTGTGGAGAATTTGAATTCTGACAGCTTTCCTTTGTGAGGTTTATAGCGCAAAGGCTTGGATAAGCTGGCTTGCAAGTCAAATTTCTTTTTRGCAGAGGTAGGAGAGCATTTTGTAGTGCTGTTGACTGTTGCATCTGCACCAAACCTGATGATCAGAAAGTTTTGTCAGGAAATGAATAATTTTTCAATGAGATGAATATGAAATTCAAAAGTACAGACAGAGATATAATATCAAGCTGGGATTTTCACAGCATACGGTACCTGAATGGTGTAACTGCAATTGATTTCCTTGAATCATGAGGTGTTTTGTTTTCCTTTGCTTTTGTGGCAACAGAAAATGACATTCTTGACACAGGAGTTTTGAGTTTCTGACTGCCAAAGCTAAAACCTCCTGATACCTTTGGAGATTTAAGGTGGCCAAATACGAAAGGTTTAGCTGCTATAGTAACAGATTTATCATGAGTTTTAGCCTTCTTGTTTTCAGGAGTCTGTGAGTAAAACAAAAATACTTACATTAACATAGGTTAACTCAATCAGCTTGCAGCAGACAAGGCAGATGTTATGTAAATCTAAAAGTTTTCTAACAAATTAGGTATGATAATATGAAAAATTTGAGATCATTATTTTTCTAGTTTAATTGTTACATACCTTTCTTGCAGGAGTATTGTGTGAGGCTTTCATTTCAGCAACGATACTTCTAGCAGTGGTTGCTGTTGTCTGAAAAAGTACATGTCATATATAATCAGCATCGCATATACATACATTACACCTGGTCTTTATAACTTTGGCAAAAGAAAGAGATGAAGTAGTTCCTAAGTATACAATGTATATCAAAATCCTGCTCCTATCAGCAAACCAACCTTTGCTTTTTTTGCATTTTGATAAAATGACTCGGTTCTTTTTCTTTTTTTCTCTAAGTATACATCAATAGAATCCATTCTGAAAAAGAGAAAAATAACACCAAAGAATGAGTTAAATTGAGGACAAATCAGTTTAGTAATTTATTTATTAAGAAGACCAAGAATGCACATAAAAATTAAAATTGGTGGAAAAATGTAATTTACATACTTTCTAAATGCCACATGCTCCTTGGATCTAGAATTTTCTGAAACAAAAAAAAAAAATCAGTGAAATCATTAATTGCTATCAGTGAAAATTTGACATTTGCTTGACATTTCCTGGAGGGCAGGGATACATTGACTGGCTTGCTTCAACTTTCATGGGTCTTCCTGCCCCCTCCCCTCCATAAAAGACGTATTTCACAACCCATGATAAAAAATGTTTACAAGGAGTATAGTAGATGCTATCAAACTTACTTGGAGTTACAGTGAAAGTAACAGCTCTCGTGTTCAAACGAGGAATTTTGCTTTCTTTTACTGAAAAGCAAAGCACAGACACATGGGTTTATAGGAATATATTATTAAATATTGACAAAATATAGTTGGAAATAATATGTTATTTATTGGGGATGCAAAAACTCTACTCATGGTCACTCTTAATGATTCTTAAGAAAACTTACAAGTTTCCTTGACTTTATTCTCCAAATGTTGCATCATCTCCTTTTTAAAACTATCTTCCTGTGTCTCTGTTCCATCGCTTGCTGTTGGACTCTGCACATTTCCTTTTGGCTTTGCAACAGGAGTTTTTCTTCAAAGTAAACGAAAAAACTGAGTTGAAACCCCGAAAGAACAATGAAATAACTGTTCTTGTATGTCAAAAATATCAGCAAAGACATTTCGATAATAAACTCACATCTTTTCGTTTTGTTGAGCGAGATATGTCTCTTTGTACTCCTTTAAATCACTAATGAGCTGGCTTGTCTGTGAACAGAGCGTAAAAAAAACACACAGAATAAGCTTCCATTCAAAGGAGTTCGTTAATATCTGCACGGGCATAAATAAAGTCATTAAAAACGAGAAGCTTTGAAAACTATTTAGCCATCAGCTGTTTTAATTCTCGAGTACCTTACTGTTGGCTTTGATTCCAAGCTTCTTGCACAACGTTTGCAGTTGTGGTCGCTTCATCTGTTCGAGGTGATCCACATCGAAGGATAAATGTACATCTGCCATTTTTTTCTCCCTTATTTCTTCAAAAATATAAGACTAAATAACAATTTCCTTGTGCGATTGCTATAAACTTGATGACCGTAAAAATACGACAATAAAAAACCTTATATTTCCTGTAGAGCTGTTAAAAGCGCTAAGAAAATGTGCACCATCAAATAAACGATCAAACGTTCTTTTCGAGGATAGTAATCACTTTCAAAATTTCAAATCCGCGCTTTGGGTTCTGATTGGTCGAGCACTTTATTTCTCAGGCTCACACCAGTGAAACTTTAACGCTAGAGACTAGGCTCTAGTTTTAGTCTCTCACTGTCAATATAAACGACGCCTGGCGGAAAGCGTCAACGCCCGAAGAAAACATTAGCGTGTGGTGAGGAGGATGAGAGAATAATTCTTATCTTTTGTATAACTGTCACAGGATTATTGAACCGAAGAAGGACAATTGATAAGCAATATCTGGAGTTTGGTAGTGATTATAGAGTTAATCGGAGTGGCAATGACATGGATTTCACTGAATAAGAGATTGTTGTGGAAGATGAACTTATAATCAAAGTCGTTTTGTCAAAAGGATTTACGCATATTTGAAGCTAAATGCCAATTACCAGATTCCAGGCGCTTCTAGTTTGTGCTATTCTTTGTAACTGTGCTGTGTTGTTTTATATATCACACGTTCAATCAACGGATGAAGCTCTAAATCCACACACGAGGCCCAAACTGAGCCACGCTCCAGAATCTCACAGTAAAAGCTCCTCCGACTATTTTCATGATGTCAAGACCTTTCAAAATGAGGTTACCGTTGTCATTATGGAGTTTGAAGATTACGAGAACGATATACCAAGGAGTGTTCAATCAGTATTAGACGTATTTCCTAAAATCAATATATTTGTATTGTCAAATCGCCGTCCATATCCACCCCTGGACTTACCGTGGGATAATGTGCAGTTGGTTGTTGAAGAGATTCCTCCCGATCAAAAGCAATCTTCAGGCAGACCTGAAAATTACATAACGACACCTTATGTGCTTGTAATGCCAGATGGAACTCGATTCGATTCAGCCAAACTACCACTCTCAATGTTAGGTGCTTTAAAAGAGACTTCAACCAGTAACAGCAAAATAGTAGCAGTACCTTTGGATAGCAGGGAACCCCTACAGTGTTATAATTTAAAAGTGGATTTGAAAAGATGGACTTTGCAGTATTCATTGTCAAAGAATTTGTCTGGAGATTTCATGATATGTGACTCTATTTCTCCTAGTCCAGTCGTGATCTTAAAATCAGCCTTCCTTCACAGCCTCAGTGTTCCTTACATGAGGCCATTCCCCGAAAGTCTCTTCATTCAAGCATCCATTCACTATGTTCACACTAAACTTTTGTACAAATCTTCATTTTCACATGGCTCAGAACTCTTTACAAATCCTCACAATAAATGGAAGCATGAGAGTGACTCCAAGAAAAAATTACAACATATGTTCAAAAGGTTTGGAGTCAAAAAGGTGGAGCATTCCTCTGGAGAAGAAGAGTGGTATGGGTGTAATAAAAATACTAAACGTTGCTTTGGTACTATTGTAGATGATATGCCAGATTTCCTATATAATAATCGCTGGACTCCTCCTTGTTGCTTGAAGAATCTCAAAGAAACAGCAAAATATGTATTTAAAATCTTTGAAAAGTCCAAAGTAAGCTATTGGTTAGAAGGGGGGTCACTACTTGGTGCGGCCAGACATAAGGATATTATACCATGGGATTATGATGTCGACATTGGAATGTACAAAAATGAAATAAGCAAGCTAGAATTTCTAGTCAAGGCTGAAGAGCTCAGCCACATAGGTTCAAAGTTTGTGGATAACTTGGGATTTGTTTGGGAGAAATCACCTGAAGGGGAATTCTTTAGAGTCCAATTCAGTCAGTTTAATCATATGCATGTTGATATATTCCCTTTTTATGAAAGAAATGGAGTAATGACAAAAGATACTTGGTTCAAAACCCACAGACAAGACACAGAATTTCCTTCCAGATTTTTGAAGCCCCTGACAAAGATCGATTTTATTGGGGTCAAGGCTTCAGCACCTAATCATGTAAGAGAGTTTTTGGAGTTCAAATTTGGAAAAGGTGTGATTGAAAATCCACAATATCCAGATCCTTCAAAGATAAAGAGAAAGACAAAAGAGAAACCAGAAAAAAAGGGATAAATATTGAATGCTTTGGAATGGGTAGCAAATTATCATAAATTAGAAAATATTTCGTTTGCAAAAATTCATAATATTATGATGATCAAGACCTGATTTTTAGAGCAAGCATTTTTGAAATTTCTACGATTTTATACTAATAGTATTAAAAATAAGTTGTAATTCTTCTAATAGTTTTCATAGTCCTATATAAGATAATAGGTAATGTAATATTGTCTTACCAATATGGATGTAAGCAGCTTGCTAAGAGTAAGTTTATTTTAAAAGTATTTTATTGAATATACAAAATGATAGCATTAAAGCTTCTTTGGTTCGAATAATTGTGGCTTAATTGTTGTGTTGTTGTGTTAATACTTAAAATTGGCACAAGGGTATTGCGTCTTTCATTGAATAACAGTCTAAAGCAAAAATTGACACTTCAAAAGCATTGAGCACTTATTGAATAAGATGGCTATTCAAAATGTTTTGTTTCACTTGACAGCCATTATCTATGAAGAAAATTCCGCTCTCGACTTGCCGGCTCCATCTCAATTATAAAATTAGCCATGAAATAACTGTATGGTAGAGTTGATCTATTCAAGTTTAATGATGCGGGCAGTCATTGAATTAGTTAGTGAATGATGAGCAAAAATTAAAAATTGCATGACTTTCTGATAAATAAGAGTAAATGGTTTGAACCCAGGTGTTGAAGTTTATTGTGAAGTGTGATCGTTCGGGTGAGTGTAGTCTTGAAAAAGACTGTTGTTGGTGGTGACTTACGTCTCGACAACCTGAGAGAAAGTCATCTTTAGAGTCCAGTGAGAAAACGAGATAGAGAACAATATCAAATGCCCTTGGCGGGAATCGAACCCATGTCTTCGGTATTCCAGTCCGATGTGTTAACCACTACACATCGGACTGGAATACCGAAGACGTGGGTTTTAATTCCCCCGCCAAGGGCATTTGATATTTTCTCTTATTTTATTATTTCTATGAGAAAACGAGAGCCCTTTTATGTAATTGACTGGTGGCCACTACCGTCGAAATGCCTGAGTTCGCAGAATATCGAAAACCGCAGTAACCCAAAAACCTACTTCGTTGCATCAGTGAAAATCTGTTTTTAGAACCGGGAAAATCAAAAATCTAGGGGACTTCTAAGCAAGTTGATCAGTACACGTTAGCCTTGTATCTTACACTCATTAGTTATTCATGAGCTCATCGACCAACCAGGGTTTCTTATTTGTATCACGTGCAGTAGTTTGAAACCCCCATCAAATACGACCGTACTCATTTCAAAGTTCTAGTACTTTGGATTATTTCAAAGTCCTACTGCTCGGACTTTGAAATATCTTAAAGTACTAGAACTTTGAAATAAAAACAAACATAACAAAAAGAGTATAAGATGTCGTGTCAAATACTCGTCACTGTATTCAATTGAGCTTTCAAAGTGATATGATAAGCAATAAGCAATAAGCTCATAAGCAATCGACTAGGAATAAAACTTTTTCGCTAAATGAGATTGCAGGCTTATTCTTGTTGAAGATTTAAATCTACTAAAAAATGGATTAAAAAACAAGAAAAATCTTATGTGGATAACATGGAATTCGAGCCAAAATAAATTCAAAATATTCGCTTCCACTGTGCCATACCCCCGAGACATCCGCAGAGCTTAGGCGGCATATGGACTTCGGACCTGACGGAGATGAAATCCTTCTGCCCTTGGGTTCACGAATTACGCAAGAAAATGTTCTAGCCAAAGCATCAGGGGAGAGACCAGCCGGCCCCAGACCATGTCGGCTAATCCCTTGCATCTCTGCCACGCAGGGAATCGGTTGATTATAATGTTAAAACGGTGTAGTCTATTCGGTGCACTGTTTTCGCGGCTTATGCTGATTTACCTGCAACCGTGGTCCAGTGGATAAATCGTTCTCGTTCAAGATACTAAGTCAAGCTCGTCTGAGGAGTGTTAGCACTTGGATGGGTGACCTAAACATTATACCTACTCACAATTTTGCTCCTTTTTTCTGTTTTTCTTTTTTAATTTTTAAAATAATAGTATATAGAATAGTAAAACTTTTCTATTTTTGAGTAACCTATTCCTGTTTACCCAAATTCGTCAAATTAAAATCTAGCAGAGGAAAATCCCTGAAAAAACTAAACTGCCGGCCATTTAGAAAGAGTTTTTCACGGCACCTTTTTCGCTGCTTCCTGATCAGTTTGTAATTTCTCCCGGTATAGCGGTGTTGGGGCCGAAATCTCCAGCGAAGCCGTAAGTCCATACGACGGTTCGTTCAGCATTCGATGTCAAATCAATATAGGTCCTTTGCAGTTAACGATCACGTGTCTGTACTGGACTGCAAAATTTTTGTTTTTATATTGAATTGGTGATTCTTTTTAGCTACTTGTAAAGAACTGAATGAAA